ATAATTAAGTTGAGTTTATAAGATTTAAGTAAAGTTAAAGTGTTTTTTTGCTTAAGTTGGTTGTTCAACCCTTTTATGTTAAGAGTTAAATTTTTAAGTAGTGTTTGTTGCTCATGAGCTATATAAAGTAGTGCGGATAGTAAATCTAGAAGCTGTATGCCCCATTTCAAGTTTTCTTGTATAAGGCTGGTGGTCTGTTTGCATCAGGATTCTGGTTTGCTAGAGCTTTTTGACCTTTCTTTTTCCTGCATACTGTTGTGAAAGGTTCCTTCTCTATATTATTAATTTGGGGCTGAGTGGTTGCATTATTGTCAATAAGCACTACTAGGAAGCTAGAGGAGAGGAGTTCTTTTCTTGGTGCAGTTGCAGCGGGAGATGGGGTGTCTGGTGCTGAATCTGTTCCATCATTATTTTCATAGAGGTTTATATTAATTGTTTCCTGGGCTTCTTCAGACAACCAGGGATTTTCAGTAATTTCGTTATCAACTGGGACAAAATCAGAGGAGGAGGCAGTGGTCATCTGAGGAACCAAAGGATTTCCATTCTCGTTACAGGTATCAGAGTCTGGGAGGGGTATGTTTGGTTTGTTAGCTGCTGAAGGCTGATTTAATTTTTGTCTTCTATTAGCAACATATGCTTTGTATTCTCATTGAAGCTCAAGAGCTTCTTTGAATTGATCACAATCTTTTTTGATATTCCCTTTTTTATCACAAAAATAACAGATTTTGGGGGCTGATTGCCATTCTGTGGTAACTTTGTTGTCAAGAAGAATATAGAAGTAGTGAATTCTTTTTTCTAAATCTAAATCATCTGTGGTTTCGAAAGAGACTATCCACTAATCAGTTAAGTATGAAGTACCCTCAATTAGCAGAGACCTAATGGAGGCAATTTTGTCTACATCACCAAAAGCTGCTTGAATCTCATTTGAGATCTCTTCCTTGTTTCCTAGTGGAACATTTCTAATTTTAACAGACAAGAAAGATCTTCTTGCATCAGTCAGGATATACCCATAGTATACTTTATTAAAAATTTTTACACTCTTGATGGCATAGAGCTTGAGTTTTTCTTTGTTTACAAATACTAGTTCTAAATGTGTACGCACACCCCTGTGAATATGAGGCTTAGCTGCTAAAATATCACCCCCTGCGGTCTCAAAGAGAGAGACCATAATTTCGTTTAGGGAACTGTCAAGATTTCCTATATCAATGATAAGGGCATTATCATTTTTAGATCGTATGTCTCTTCTTGGAGAGAAGGATGAGAAAGTTGATTGGCCTCTTTTGACCCTTGCAAAGAGACTAGACCAGGGTTTTGGAGAGGGTTTGTTGCTACTGTTTGTAGTAACGGTCTTAGATGCTGAAAGGTACGTGTCATGTATTTTCATGTTTGTTGTTTCTGTTGTTGTGTTTACCTGGTTTTCTTGCAATATTGGATGTGTTTCCGGGCTGGATACGTTTGTTTTGTTATTTGTAAGCAGTTTTTCATTGTTCATTTTTGTTTCAATTTCTTAAGAAACTTGCTCGTCCCAGCTAGGTCTATCATTGATTGTAGAGCTTTGTTGTAACAAATTTGTTGCTGCAGCTTGGCTATCCTCTGTAGCTATAGGTCCTTTGCTCGCAAGTAGGCCGTTTGTTTTGTCTAATAGAGATTGTTGCTTCTCTAGAGAAGGCTCCAGTGTCTTAGTTTTCTTGTTTTTATTAGTTTCTGTATTAAAAAGTTTCCGTTTCTTAGGAACTAGGGGGGAAACCCCCGTTCTGTTGTTGGTTTTGAGTTTAAAAGGCTCTTGTGTAGAGTTTATTTTGTCTTTTCTATGTTTTCTCCATCCTAGACGTATGTGGTCAGGAGAGAAAGTGTGATGATCCCTAGTAGACATTTTTAAATAATGAATAATAAATAAATAAGAAAATAAAAATAAATATATAAAATAGAATAAATAAAATATATTAGA